CCTAATCCTGACCCTGACTCTGGTCCTGACCCTGACCCTAATCCAGGCTCTGCCCCTGCCCCTAATCCTGACCCTGACTCTGGCCCATTCTCTGACCATAACCCTGGCCCTAACCCTGAGCCTTACCTTCACCCTGACCTGGGTACAGATTGTGGGCCTAACTCTGGCCCTTGCTCTGACCCTGACACTGACCCTGACTCTGACCCTAATCCTATCCATGCCCATGGGCTTGGTCCTGGCTCTGGCTCCAGTCCTGGCCCTGAATCTGGTCCTGCGTCTGACCCAGACCCTGGCCCTGTCTCCTGATCCTGACTGTGACCCTGGCCCTGACCCTCACCCTGACCTTGACCTTGACCATGACCTCAGCATTGCCAGTTTTAGCTCTCCTCTCCCTGACTTGGCCCCACAACAGGCAGCCTGTCACTATGTCTCCCCATGATCCCAAGGCTTCCTGTGCTCCTCTACATGCTCACCCCAGTGACCCCAGTCCCCACTACCCACCAGCCAGGGGGTTTCCTTCAAGGCTTTTCTAGGGCCCCAGGGCAGGAGGCCTCAGGTCCAGAAGCCGTCTAGGGCCAGCCCAGGTATGGCTCCCCACCAGGGAGCCCAGCCCAGCAGAGCCAGAGGCAGAAAGGGGGTGCTTGGTGGGGAGGCTGGGCAGATCGGTGGGGGATCCTGGGATCCTACCCTCCATCACTGACCTGCTGTCCACATGAGGACAAGGGCCACAGGTGAACTTCCTGCCTCGTCCCGACTCCTTTAAGCCACAACAGGTGTCTGTACCCTGGACATGAACAGGACAGGAGGGCCTCTGCAGACCAAGAGGCTGGGATCATGCGGTGGGACTGTGCCAGATTGGACTATAGTTGTGAAGGTCCTGGCTCAGGTGGTGGGACAGGGCAGAGACCCTTGCCTAGACAGAGCAGTGTAGACACTAGGGTCCAGCTCCACATTCCGGTGGGCAGTCAGGAGGGACTTGAGCACTGTCACCTGCATAGTGCTGCCCAGGTTGATAATGGAGGGGCCTGTCCTAGGGCCAAGGCTGATCCTCGGCAGGCTGATGTCCTGGAGCATCCCTACCCTTGTAGGAGCCATGCTGGTCACTGCTGCCACCCACTCTGGCCTCCAGAGATGTTCCCCTTCACAGCTCTGGCCCAAAAATGAACCCAAGGGCTTTCCCGTGCGGGACTGGACACTTAACAGGACCTCACCCAGGGCTCAGGATTGGCCATGGGTAGCCTGAGCCTGGGCAGCTGGACTCCTTGCCAACTCCTCACACACAGTTGTGCAAAGTGGACACACTTGTGGAAGATCAAATTAAAGACAACAGAATATCTGTTCCCTGCCCCCTCCCTGGCAAGCAGATGACTTTCCCCTGTCTCACCTCTGTGTGCCTGATCAGCATTGCCCCCACCTGAAGGAGCCACTGTTAAATGTTCGGGAATTCTGCAGTCCAGTCAGTAAACACAGGCATTGTCAACAGTCAAGTTATTTAAATATACACTTGAATAAACCATATTAAAAACGAAGTTAATAAATTCTTAAACTCATTACTTTCTGTTACCCAGCAACTGGGTCCCACTGCTCTCCACTCAGAAAGAAAAGACTCATCAGTCCCAAATGTTTGTGGGAGGCCAGGAGCTTGTTATCAGACGTCTGAGGAGACAGACTAGACTGTCTCCCCACTGTAGGGTTTGGTGTGTGTGTGGGGGGGTTAAAGACGAGCTGAGGGAAAGGAATGTGGGAAATGAAAAGCAGGAAGTGGGGGATGTGCAGGCTCGCTAGGACTCTGTCTGGTTTCTGCTCCCATCTTGCTGTCATCTCAGGGTCCTGCTGGAGGGTGGGATCAGCGCAACTTTATTGACGTCTTCTCTGGTTCCTTTGGATAGTACGTGCATGTCTGCAGCTCCAGGCTGGCTGGAAAACAACCTTACAATCATGTCAATAAAGTCACCTTGCCCCATAGCCAAGGTTCAAAACATCAAATAACCATGGGAAAAGAGGGAACTCAGAGAAATACATGCCAAGGGAAAAAATAAAAAACAAAACTGTGTCCTTCCAAAATCTTTTAGAGCTCATGCAGTTTCAGATCCCAAATGGCTTCTGTCCTGCTCACTCCAACATTCCTAGTTATTTTACCACATTTTGCGATTATTCCTTGAGGTCACGTATGTCTGTCCTGGCTTTATGGCAGATGGGCTATGGGCAGATGCTGCCCATCTCCCCAGCTCCAAATCTGGGGACGTCTCCTGGGCATCCTGAAATCAGCAAATGCTGCAGATCAGGTCTTGACTTAAGAAAGTGATGGAGATGGTGTTAACAAAGCAGAATGAAGTGGAAGGCCACTGTCTGTGGCCGTTTCATCGATAACTGCTCCAAACATTGAGGGATATTCTTTCATAATTACAAAAGCACCAGACCACCTAGAAGAGGGAGAAAAACCAAGGGTAAACACCAACAACAGAGCTGCAAATATGCACATCAAAAACTAACAGAATTTAGAGGAGATGTAGATAAATTCAAAATTGTACATGAAGACTTCAACACCCCTTTTTTGACAGTGGAGAGAACAGTTACTGTAGACAGGAAACCAGCAAGGATGCAGAAGAACTCAACCCGCATCAACCAACAGGCTCTACCTGACATTCACAGAGCCCAACAATGGTGGCACACATGTCCTTTCACGTGCTCACATGACATGTGCCAGGAGAGACTGTACCCTGGACCACCAAAATGACCTCAACAAATGCAAAAGCTTTAAATCACACAGTGTGTTCTTCAACATGACAGAATCAAACTAGAGTCAATAACAGAAAGATAATGAAGACATAACGTCCCAACACTAGGAAACCAAACAGCACACTTTTAAATAATCGATGGCTCAAAGAGGAAGTCACAAGGGGGAAAAAAAGAGACTGAACTGAATGAAAGGAAAATACAGCATGTGAAATTTTGTAGCACCGCATCAGAGCAGTTACGTAGGGAAAACAAACTGTTCTCTTCTCTATACCCACATTTCTGTCCACCGAATATGTGGGTTTTTTCACATCCACAATTTTCCAGTTCTCTGTAAACAGAAGGTCCTACAATTGAACTCAATTCTGACACTATGTACCTGGAGATAGTGTCAGATCCCACAGGCCAAGGGCTCAGTCTCCCGAGACTGCACCACTTCAGAAGCTGATCACAAGTCCAGGTTGCCTGACCAACCAGCTGTAAACCAGAGGTTCCCTCGATCCTGACCCCCGTTCCATTCAACTGTTTCCTCGCAGAACTCAGAAACACAGCTTATTTATTTGATTGCAAGTTTATTATAAAGGACGCAGGAACAGCCAAATTGAGGAGATACACAGGTCAAGGTATGGGAGGGGCTGCAGTCCCAAGTCCCTAAAGGGTGTCACCTGTGCCCTTGGCTGAGGATGGTGCCAGCTCCAGGTGAAAGGTGCTGACCTGGCAGAGACTGAGCTGTCCATGGCCACCTGGACCAGACGCCCATAGGACCAGGCTGCCCAGGTGTCCACAACTCTGGTCACTAGGGGCACAGGTCCCTGGAAATGCCAGCACAGGGTCTGGCAGGTCACTGGATGGGACTGTCCCATACTCCTGCTGAACCCCCCCGGGACGCCCCCCTGCTCCCAGCAGACCATGAGGAGGGGCTCCTGACACGGCTCCTCCTTTGAGGACTGCCCAGGATGGGGTGCAGAGGGGCTGGGGTGCCCTTTCCAGTGCATGGAGGCTGAGGGGAGGCTGTGGGAGCTCAGCTGTGCTCATGGCTCCATTTCTGTTCATTTCCCTGTGGACCCCAGCGATGGCCAGACTCACCTGAGCCAGAAGGGTTTGGATGGGCCCAGGGTGGCACTGTGGGGCCTGGGTGGGCAACCACGGCACTCCTTACCTCCTCCCTGAACTGAGCTGGGACCTTGGGGAGACCTGGGCAGGGCCCCTCCCAGAAAGACTGAGCTGGTGTTTCTGGTCACACAGGTTGAACTGTCTTCCCTCTTTCAAAACCAAGCCACTCAAAAGTGAAACGTTGGTGAAAATGGAAGTCAGCTTTAACTCAGGAATATCAGTGACCCGAGGAGAGATGCTGGGCGAACCTGTCTCTCTGATAAACCTGTACAGGAACGGCCAGGTTAAAGCCATCTCAAAGACTCAGATTTACTGAGGGGTTTTTAAAGAGTGATTGAGGGAATGGAATGTGGAAATGAAAAGCAGGAGGGAGGGGGACGCGAGCAGTGAGGGCTCCACGCAAGATCGCAGGTAGAGTCTCACCGGGGCTCTGTGTGGTTTCTGCTCCGTCCTTGCTGTCATCTCAGGGGCTGGATAGTACATGCACGTCTGCAGCTCCAGGCGGGCTTGAAAACCGCTTTGCATTCATGTACATAATATCATCTTGCCACATAGCCAAAGTTAAAAATATCAAATAACCATGGGAAAAGAGGGAACTCAGAGAAATGCATGTGACCAAAAAAAAAA